TGTTATTCGTGACCCCGCTAGTGGGGGAGGTTACAAACGCTAGCACATGTCGACATGTTAGTGATAGAGCTAGTTCGTTCAACCCTGCTAGTGGGGGTTATACACCAGCAAATCGTGTGTCCGCCAGTGGGAGGTTTATAAACGCTGGCCATGACCTATAGAGGAGACGTCTATTTCGTGCCCGTACTGTATTCGTTTTTCGTGATTGTACTTGTTGGCATGTTATAAGTTTAATTAAGGGCACTCCATATTTACTTACTGAGTTTATCTCATAGTTTTTCCTTGTCCACCATTTCAGGAAGTGAAACCGAGGACGGGGAAACCACGGGAAGTGACGAGTTAGAAAGCTAGCCATTTCGAAATTGGATATAAATTTTAGATATGAATCATGATCTTGTATTTGAAGATTTTATGATATCAGAGTAAATTTCAAAGATTTGATCTTCAGATTTTGGTGGTATCAGAGTACAGTATGATAAGTTCCGAGCCTTGTGCATTTGTGGGACCCTCTCACGAGTGCACGGCATCTGTCGCGTCTCGAAATTGAGTTTTGGGGCATGACATAAACAAGGAAGAAGAGGATGCAATACATCGCCTTTATATATATATATTTTGAGTTTAGCAATACATTTTATACATGTAAAATATGTGTTCTAATACTTTTAATGTAATACTTAATTAGTGACATCTTTCCGATTGTTAGAAGAAAATTTTCAAAATGTAAATGTATTGATCTATCATTTTTTTTATATTTAATTTTGCTAATGCAAGTTTACAGTCTCTCAGTATGTATGCTGCATTATAATTACTGTATAATTTAAGGGCATTAATATTTCTCATATCAAAGCAGCTAGCTCTCCTAAACTGCATATATTTATAAAAAAAAAAATTGAAATTAGATGCTTTGTTGAGTTTATAAAAAAAAAAGGTTTTACCTTCGTTTCCTTTTATTTTTTTTTTCTTATATAGATGGTCCATGTATTTTGACAAAAATTATCACAAAATTTTGGTTGGTATATTACGGATATGTAATCTAACTTTTTAAACTTGTGTGATTAGTAAGATATAAAGTGAGCCATTTGTGGCGATAATATATGAAATGAGTTAATAAACTCTTATAAAAAATCTTATGTGAAAATAGTTTTTTTATAAACTCAATTATTTGATAAGTGTAAAAATCACATATTTGAGGTATTTCTACCATTAACTATAGTTTGCTTTATGCTCACCCCACTACTCCTGTTATAATGCAAGCATTTGAAATTTTTTTTTTTAAAGGCTTGTCTCAAGGATGCTAAAGGTGTTTAGCAAATGTTAAAAAACATTTGTTTTAAAGTACTATTTATAAGACTAAAATTTTGTTTAAGAGAAAATTAAAAATTGTTTTTTAAAGTGAATATTAATTAAGTTTTTGCGTGTAACACATTATGAATCTATGGTAAATTAGAATAAAGTGCTTAAATCTGCTTTAGGATAAATCTCCTTAAGTTAGCATTTTTTTTTTTTT